AAAAAAAAAAAAAAAAAAAAATTTTTTTTGAAAAATTTAAACTGTGAGTTGCGGGGGTGGGGAGGGGGGTCTCACTGTGTTACCCAGGCTGGTCTTGAACTCCTGGCCTCAACTGATCCTGCTGCCTCAGCCTCCCAAAACACTGGGATTACAGGCACGAGCCACCATGCCCGGCCCCCTTTAGCTTTCCTGAATTTCAGATCCCTCTTTGGTGAAGTGGCACTAACAATAATACCTACCTTGAAAGGCTGCTGTGAAGGGACTGCATGACGTGATGCAGGGACAGGGCCTATTAGTTTGTTACACCTTAGCTTATTTTCCCTGGATCTGAGCGAAGAAGAGCCAGGGTGGAAGAGATGGACTCTGTGGGTCCAGGCAGGGCCTCGGGGGTTGGGGTCAGGGCCAGGCAGCCTCACAATGGTCTAGAACTCTCCCTCACTGTAGGTTCTCACCTACTTCAACTCCTCTCCCTGTCCCAGGGAGGGGAGAAAAGGTCTGGGATTCATTGCCAGGAGGGGCTTTCCCCCAGGATTTCCTACTTCTTTCTTTACTGCTGTGCTTGAAGCTCACAGGAGACCCCTCAAGAGGTGGTCACTGGCCCACAGCCCACCCCGTCCTCCACCTGCCACCTCCACCGTACCAAATGCTGGCTCTGCTCTCTCCTCCGTGTTTGTCCTGTCAAGAGAGATGGTTGTGGTCATGAAGTTCTTCCGATGGGTTAGACAGGCTTGGCAAAGGATTATTTCCTGGGTGAGTTTCTGAGACCACTCTGTCCTCATGATGCTCTGGCCTGAGGGCATGGTCACAGCAGCCCCTTACTGCATGGGTTCCCTCCCTTCCTGGCCTCCTGTGGCCAAACAAGATGGAGTGGGGAGGAAGGAAAGGACAGCTGGGGAGGGGCTGGAGGAGAAGGAATAGAGGCCCGGAAACTCACTGATCCATCCTTTTGTGCCTTCTTTTTTGTGGATGGTGTTGTCTCTGCCCTGCCCCTCTCTCCTGTCTCTCCTCTCTGTGTCTTGGTTCTCAGGTTTTCTTCTGGAGGCAGAAAATTAAACCAACCACCTCAGAACACCCTGGCTCCAAGAAACACTCATTGAAGAAGATGGAGAAGACTCTCCAGGTGGCTGAGACTTTGAGGTTGGTCGAGTCCCCAAAAGAGGCTAAACCCAAGTTGGCTGAGTCCCCCAAGCTGGCAGATCCCTGCGTGTTGGCCAAGACTACAGAGGGGACCAAGGTGGAGCTGGGCCGACAGGGCCGATCCCTGCTGCAGCTGCCGAGGACGGCCGTCAAGTCTGTCTCTACGCTCATGGTCTCTGCCCTGCAGAGCGGCTGGCAGATGTGCAGCTGGAAGGTCAGCACCGTCCCAACGCCCCCTCCCTCTTTCCCCAGCCCCGAGTGACTCACCCCTCCCTCCGATTACTTGTTCAACCATTGTTTCCTGGCCTGGTGCAGTGACTCATGCCTGTAATCCCAGCATTTGGGGAGGCTGAGATGGGAGGATCACTTGAGCTCAGGAATTCGAGACCAGCCTGGGCAACACAGCAAGACCCTATCTCTTAAAACATCTTTTTCTTTCTCTCTTTCTTTTTTTTTTTTATCCTGAGACAGAGTCTCACTCTGTCACCCAGGCTGGAGTGCAGTGGCGCGATCTCAGCTCACTGCAACCTCCACCTCCCGGGTTGAAGTGATTCTCCTGGCTCAGCCTCCTGAGTAGCTGGGATTACAGGCATGCACTCCCACGCCCGGCTAGTTTTTGCATTTTTAGTACAGACAAGAGTTTCACCACAAGGTCAAGCTGGTCTCGAACACCTGGCCTCAAGTGAGCCATCTGCCTCAGCCTCACAAAGTGCTGGGATTACAGGCATGAGCCACCATACCCGGCAAATTTTTTCTTTATATATATATATATATACTGGCCAGCCTGTCTCTTATCTAAAAATAAAAAAATATGCCTAGGCCGGGACTTGGGCGGCGGGGGGGCTCAACCCCCTGTAACTCCGAAATCACCTTTGGGCCCAAGGCCCTAGGCCAGGCAGATCACTTATGTGGTCAGGAGATCGGACCGAGTCCCCTGGCCTAACCAGTGAACCCCGTCTCTACCTAAAACATACAAAAATTAGCGCGGCAAAGAGCGTGTGTGGCGGGCCGCCTGTAGTTCCAACTAGCTCATGAGCTGAAGCAGGAAGAATGTGGTCGAACATTCCGGGAGGTCGGAGCTAACTGAGCCAGAGGATTCAGCTGCCCTCTGGCGCCCCGTCCAGGCCTATGGTGACAGAGCAGAACTTCTTGTGACGTCTCAAGAGAAAAAAAAAAATTAGCACAGGAGAGGTGGCCGGCGCGTCCTGTAGTCCCCAGCTACTATTCGGAAGGCTGGCAGGAGATTGGCGTTGAACTCCTGGAGGTGAAGAAGCCTCTGCAGCTGCAGCTGAGTTATCCCAGCGCCACTCAGCACTCCAGCCTGGGCAACAGAGGCGGATTCACGTCTCAAAAAAATAAGAATA